TATTTTCGAGAAACAAAAAAAAAAGTAATAAACAAATCTATAGTATATATTATACTAAAAGAGAAACCAGAGAGAGAAAACAAAAAAACAATTCTAAAGGTGCCACATAGGATAAAATTCTATGTGTCATTTTTTCAATACTTGAGTCAAAAAATATTTACAACAATTATACTAATAGTCATTCAAATTTTATGCAAATAAAGTTTTATCAAATGGCATTAAAAACTATAGTTTAAAATAGGAAAATAAAAATTAATGAAATTTAATGGACGAGATTAATGAACATTAATAACCAGAATTATTCCCTTCCTAAAAGATTCTCAAAGTTACTACTGAACTCATTTAATTAATCTCTCTCCAAAAAAAATTTCCTCCCAATCATGTAAATCAATAGACTACAATTAAAAAAAAATATATCAATCATTCAACATTAATGTTATCTTTAAAATCTTCTCCCAAAAACATGACCCTATATTTTTCGCCAATAAAAAAGAAAAAAAAAAAGGTACAAAACTTGCCTTCAACTATTACTAAAAGGATGGGATTTAACTATAATTAAATTTTATCTTTTGAATTTCAAACCAATGTATTTATCTGTGTAATATCACATCTACTCAAATAAATATAATCTGTCCTTAATAATATCTCAAAATTTGTTATAAACTTTATCTTTATCAATGAAATTTTGAATAATCAATTATCATCAATCCCAATTTATCTCTATTTATACATGCCACACAAACCATGAGTATGTTCCAATGCTGCAAAAATTTCCCCCTCCCCAAAACAACTCGAATCCAAAGATGAAAGGGCAAAAACTTTAGCTCTACAGTTGGTTTGTTGCTCTGAAAGTGATGAACTAATAGTCAGTCGATCGTGTGACATGGGAAGTAATGGTTAATTAAGGTTATATATGAGTTTTTTTTTTCCGTATGTTCTTCTGCAAAATGATATTTTAGGATTTTTTTTAGACGTTACTAAATTTATGTTTTTTTACCCATAATTTCATTAATTATTATTTTCTATTGTCATAGCAAAAAGGGATTAAAGTGTAAAAATTTTAATTTTACAGTTGGTTTGTTGCTCTAAAATATTAAGTATTGGGCCAAACAGTACCATAGAATCTTCAATTACAACAAAATAACCATAAAAATTTTAAACTTCACACTTCAATCACACATAATCTACCATCTACAATCGATAATTACTTCATTATGTAGTTTACGCGTACAATCATTTTATCTTTTCATTCAATATGTAACATTAATACAATCTTATTTATTTTACTCTGCTTATGAGTGTTATTATCCAATTCTTCTCCTTCAATCAACTGAACACTTGCATTTCAAATGATATGCATTATTTTATCTTTACAATTACGTCTTTATTTAATTTTAGTTGTGTAATGTATCTTAATATGGACTCCAAATGCATTTTACACTTTTTATATTTTTTTGTTGATTTTTTATAATGTATATAAATAAACCCCGCGCATCGCGCGGGTTTAACATTTAGTATTATACTATTGAAATTTCGCAGCGGATCCTTTGGAGTTGTTATACTATGCACATTAAGTGCATCTAGTTATGTGTATTTAGACTCTTTTTTTATTATTAAAAAACGGAGAAGCTTCATGTATAATCATTAACATTTTTTTTTCTTTTTCCATACACGTCGCCCTTCTACTTAATTTTAGAAAGTGGGTTTTAAAAATTTCTTTTATCTTCAAATGATTCTACTTCTTAATCCGTAATGAACAAGACCAAGTGTCATATATCATTTTGATAGTACTCGATAAGATCTATCCAACAAGATCCACAATGAATATGTTTCTCGAAATTTTAAAAAATTTATGCAGTTGTCCTGGCCTTACTAAAATACCCTATGGTCTTACTAGTGTCTTTTAGGACTACGACCTACAGAAAAAGACCAAAAGTCAAATGCCAAAGACCAAAAATTGAATACCAAAGAGCAAAAAGAAAAAACCAAAGACCAAAGATAAAAGTGAAGAGCGAGCGTTGTAAGAACCAAATACCAAAGACCAAACACCGAAGACCAAAAAATCAAAGACCAAAGACCAGAGTAAAAGGGAGCATATGTGAAAAAAAAAGACCAAAGACAAAAGGTCAAAGACCAAAAACCGAGAGATCAAAGACCAACGATCAGAATAAATAGCAAGTGTGTATGAGGACCAAAAACCAAAGACCAATGGCCAAAAGACCTAACTATCCCCTAACCAACACGGAAATTCTTAAACCACCCTAAACCTTAAACCCTAAACAACTAGACCCTAAACGACAGGGAAATGCTTAAACCCACTAATATTTTTTTTATTTTTTTTGGTTTGAATTTTTTAAAGCTAATTATGTGACCCTAGCCTAATTAGTTTAAAAAAAATTCATAAAGTTAATCGTATTACGATAGAAATTAGGCCATAATTGACACGAAAATGCTTAAACCCTCTAAACCCTAAACCTTAAAAAACTAGACCCTAACTGAAACGGAAATGCTTAAATCTCCCTGAACCCTAAATCCTAAACAACCAGACTCCAACTAACACGGAAATGGTTAAACCCCCCTAAACCCTAAACACATTAATTTTTTTTTTTGGTTTAACTTTTTTAAACCAATTAGGCTAATAAAATTTATAAGGTTAATCGTGTTACGGCACAAACTAAGCCCTAATCGACACAAAAATATTTAAACCCCATAAATCCTAAAACCTAAAACCTAAACAACTTGACCCTAACCGACATGGAAATAGTTAAACCCCCCTTAAATCCTAAACACACTAATTTTTTTTTTGTTTAAAAAAATTTATATGTTAATCGTGTTACGGCACAAACTAGGCCCTAACCGATAATGAAATGCTTAAGCCCCCCTAAACCTTAAATCCTAAATAACTAGACCGTCACGGACAAGGAAATTCTTAAACCCCCTCTAAACCCTAAACAAACTAATATTTTTTTTCGATTTTTTATCTTTGGCTTTTGGTCTTTACTCCTTACACACGCTCGCTTTTAGTTCTGGTCTTTGATCTTCGCTCTTTGGTCTTTAGTTTTTGTAAAAAAATTTTGGTTTCTAGTCTTTGGCTTTCGGTCTTTGGTCTTTGATCTTCGGTCTTTGGTCTTTGGTCGTTGGCCTTCGGTCTTTGGTCTATGATATTTTCTGTTTGGCTTTTGATGTTTGGTCTTTGCTCCTTACACGATGCTCCCTCTTTCACTCTGGTCTTTGGTCTTCGGTTTTTGCTCTTTCATTTTCGGTTTCTTGGTTGGTCTTTAGTCTTTTGTCGTTGTTCTTCACACAAGCTCGCTCTTTACTCTAGTCTTTGCTTTTTACTCTTTGGTATTCAATTTTTGGTCTTCGGCCTTTGGCTTTGGTCTTTTCTGTAGGTTGTGGTCCTACAAGAGACAAGTAAGATCAAAATGTCTTTTAGTAAGACCAAGGTTACTGCATAAATTTTTTTAAGTTTCGAAAAAATATTCATGATGGATCTTGTTGGATAGATCTCATCGAATACTATCAAAATGATATAAGACATTTGTTATAATTATTTACGGATTGAGAGAAAAAATCATTTGAAGATTAAAAAAAAATTGAAACTCATTTCCTAAAAATAAGTAAGAGTGGTGCGTGTATTTCACCTAACTCATAAAGACTTGCATGTTTAGCCCACATTTCCTAAACTAATTGCCAAATAAAGGTCTATATGTACCTAGCTACATACATTAATATGCATGGTATAATGTTCGCTCAAACCTAATAAAAATTAGTTAGTCAACACTCGGCATTGGAACTATTATTGTAATTATACTTGTATTTAGACTCTTCGGATGTAGTAAGATTTTAATTTGTGGTGTAGTACACAACAAAACTATTGCTCTGCTAATCCTATAAAATAATAGTTTTATCATTTTGTTTTTTTTTAAGATAAAGAAATTAAGAATATAAAATACTGGTTTGGAACAATAATTTAATTTATTCATAAAAAAAATATATTCTCTATTTTAAAAATCATTGTCCAGTTTAGATTTTTCACTTTTATTTTATTTTGTACTAGAAATGAAAATTAAAACTGGATAATAATTCGTGTCGGAAGGAGTAATAAAAAATGAAAAGTATCTGAGGTTTGAGTGGGTACTTGCGTGGTGGTTATTGGGTAGCCGGACCACAAAATGGGCACTATCGATCGAACCTTGGACGGAGGAGTTGCTGGCCAGATTCATTTCATTACAAATTGTGGCGATTCGTTTGGAATTCTTCCAAAGCCGAAAGTTAGTCCACCCATTTTGTGGTTTGGCATCATTCATTTTATATATGTTTTTAATAAAATAAAATCAAACAGAGACAAATACTTAAAACTGAGCCATTCATCGTGAAGTCGTAGCTCTAGGTTCTCCACGACGTTGAACCCTTCGTTTTCCTAACGATTCGTTTTCTACTCTTATGGTGTTAGATTTAAGTACAACGCTTTTGTGAAAATGGTTTTTATTGAAATTCTTATCACCGTACTTTGTACACAGATGATATGCTTGAAAATGAAACATTTACATTTCAAGAAAGCAACTTAAATGTCATAACTAACCACCACATACTACAGAGATTAGATATTTTTTATCTACACAAATTTCCAATTATGTCATTTCTAAAATAACATCATTTTATTTATGAGCGTTACACATCAACCTCACTAAACTATAGTTGTTTATACAGTAATTAACTCGATTTTGATTTTTATGAAAACTATATTTTTTAACAACCAAAATAATTACAGATAGCAGTATTAGGAAAAAACATATTTATTGTACGACAGTTATATCATCAAAATATTTTTTTATTTTTTCCGATAAGATTATATTTGTGTCTATCTTTTGTCTCTGACTACACAAGTTTACGTGATACAATCGCTGTACAGTAGATTTTCTCCGATACTAGTGCTTAAAACGTACCCGAAACGAGTGATTATATACCATAGCAAAGTCAACAACAAACACATTGCCATAAGTTAGTACACGAAATCATGAAGGTAAAATTAGAATGGGAGATGGGTGGTGGGAGGGGTCTACCAGTTAAAACAGTAAGTAAAGCACATAGATATACTTGGACGCATGAAACATCGATGGGACAAACTGTAGAAACATTTACATTACGCATGATTAATGCATGGCAAAACCTAACCAAAATACATAAAGCACACGGTATATGATCACTACTTATTGGGAAGCCTTGTAAGACACGATCCCTCTTCAACTCAGTTGTTGTTGATGATGATATGGTTTTATAGCTTCTCATGGTGCCTTCTTATTCTGAAACGCAATAAAACTCATGATAAGAAAGCTTTCTTCCTTTCTGGGCGGGAAATCTAAACTGGAAAATTCCCCCAATAATAAGATTTTTATTTCTTTTATTTTATTTTATTTTTTTTGTTCTTCCCCCATGGAATTAAACAATATCCAAAAGTTTCATCCCACCAAAAAGTAAAAGCAATGTTTGATTAGCGTAGTACGTTTGTGCTTTGATAGTATATATAAACTGAAATTTCAAGACAAAACAGAATAAAAGAAGGAAGCTCCTGGGTTTTTTATTTATTTTTTTTTGGGGGGGGGGGGGTTTAATATTCATCTCTCTCTCTTTGTTGAATTGCCGCTGTCAAAAAGATACGGAAAGTGAAGCAAAGAAAAGAGAGAAAGGCAGGAAAAGGGGTGTTTGGTTTGTTTAATTTGTTGGGCTTGTTCTTTGACAAAAAAAAAAAAGAAATTCTACATTTTTGGTATATGGGAATTATAATCCAACCTGCAACCTTGACTCTTTGATTCATTCACCACCAGCTTCAAGCAAGAGAACCTGCATTTCTTCCTCCTTCTTTGCCTCGCTTCATTAGGTATGTTTCAATGGTGATTTTGATCCTTCCCAACTTTCAGCAATTCTTAAACTCTGTATTAGTAGTTTAATATTTTCTTTGAGCTTTTTTTTTTAATTTCTTTTTTTCTTTTTAATTGTTTGGAGGGTTCTTTCATCAAGTTCTTGGGATTGGATTTGGATTCTTCCCTTCGCTGACAATCCAGCTTTCACCTGAATTGGACAATAATTTATTAATTTTTTTTCTGTTTTACAATTGCTTGCATTCATTGGTTTTTCCATTTCACTTCTAAAATTCTTGAGCAAGAAAAACTGCCCAAGTTTTCTTGTAAAATTTTCAAGGTACGTAAAGTCAGATTGCTTGCTTATATTCTCATCAAATTTCTCTTCTCTTCTTCCTTTTGAAATCTTTCTTCATAATTTCACCAACCCTTTTTGTGATTTCTGTTCTGCAACTTATTTAATTCATTCCAACTGCATTAGTACATGAAGAAATTTATTGCTTTTTTAGTTTTTTTTTTTTAATGGCCTAGGGGGTTTACTCTATAACATAGGATATAGATCAGAAGAATTAATAGTCAAATGTCAGTGAATAAAAGAATGGTTGGGAATGATGATGATGGTGATGCTGCCATTAATAGGTTGCCTATAAGCTTCATTCCTGGGAATTAGGCTTGATCGATTCGGGCAATTTGGACAATGGGAGACATTATTATTAGACAGGCTTTTACTTTTTCGTGGAATCTTTTGTTGTTGAAGCAAAAATTTCAACACATCACGTGCTGGGCACAAGGATTCATGGTTTGTCCATTTCTGTGCGAAAAATCGGTTCATCTCAGCACTTGGCGACAAATGTTTTCGCTGAGTTTAGTTTCTTTTTTTTCTGGGTTGGAAAAAAGATAATTTTTTTCTTGTTAGAACAAAGACAGAAATGCAAAATCCTCATTCATGATGGATGATTTTGTGAAGTCAGTAAACTACGTAAATGGTCTGCCACATAAATAAGAGAAGATATCAGAAGTTGATGTGATATTGTGATTTGGAGAGATTTCACAAATTTTTTTTAACATATATAGTGGTTCACATTAAGATCAATTTTCAAGGTGGAGGTTCTTCCATGCAATTTTTGCCCAAAAGAAAAAAATCACTGTCAGTAAAATAAAATTTGCAATTTTTTTTGCAATATATAGTTAAAAGGGATTTCAGTTGCTAGTTGCTCAGCTTTGAAGAGATTCTGCATTGGTTCCCCCTGGTTGACGTGCAAAGTTGATTTGCTTTTGCAGAAGAAGTTGATATTGATGGAATAGATTCAAGATTGCTTTTTTAGTAAGCCTTTCTCCATATTCAAGCTTGTTCGATTTCTGGAAATGTCAAACGCTTCACCAAATTTAAAAGCTGATATGGAGGGGACAACAAATACCAGCTTTAGGGAAAGATATGCCAAGCTGATAGAAGGGTCTTCTTGGTTGAGTCAATTCTGCCATGGGTCCAACCCATGGATGGCTAGATATGTTTATGGTTTAATCTTCCTCGTCATGAATTTGCTTGCTTGGGCTGTTCGTGATTATGGCCAAGATATACTCACCGAAATGAAAAGTAAGTATGATTTCATCCCAGAATCTTTGTTCCTGTTTTACACATGTTTTAGCTTCACTATCTTCTTGTTTAACCTTGAAAAATGCTAATGTAACTGCAGGATTGAAAGAATGCAAGGGAGGCAAAGAGTGCCTGGGAGCTGAAGGAGTGCTGAGAGTGAGCTTAGGATGCTTTGTATCCTTCTCTGTTCATCATGTTCTTTGTTTGTTTTTCCTGTCATATACATCACCTGAAAACAGAGTGATTCTGTTTTAAGGACTAAAATTACGTTGTCATTAGTAAATGGAAGATGTAATTTTGAATGTTGTTGCACAGTTTTAAGATCATTAATATCCAAGATCACCACCCTGATAAGGCATATGTGCTATTCAGAATTTCATTTAACCAACAAGTGTAAACCTTAACTATTCCTTTTAGCTGTTCTACTTCATAATGTTTCTGTCTACTGCTGGAACTTCCAAGTTACACGAACGAAGAGAACTCTGGCATTCGGGTTGGTGGTCTGCTAAGATCATCATGATGCTAGTGCTAATTCTCCTGCCTTTCCTGCTTCCTCCGCAAATCATCGAATTTTATGGTAACTGCTATTCCGAGCTCGTAATCTTGACAATATCGACGGGTTTAAATCCCTGAAAATGATACTAACATCTGTCATCTTTCTTATGTTGCAGGGGAGGTAGCACATTTTGGTGCCGGGTATGCATTTAACCGAAGCCTTTCTGTTGGTGGTATTCAAATTACTAGCCATATCTTATTCCTTACTCTACTCTGAAATACTCTGCATGGCAGGGTATTTTTACTAATCCAGCTGGTCAGTATAATCAGTTTTATCACTTGGCTGAATGACTGTTGCCAATCTGAGAAATATGCTGATAGATGGTATGTAATGTAACGCAACTTTTGTGAGAATTAAGTACTGTAAAATCTAGTCCGATACTTGTGTCTTCTTTGTGTTAGTTTTTTATGTTAAAATCTGAGCTCATTTTCATATGCGTAATTTCGCAGTCGAATCCACCTGATGTTACTTGCAACAGCAGCATATGTGATATGCATACTAGGGATCATTTTGATGTACATCTGGTATACCCCAGAATCATCTTGCTTACTCAACATTTTCTTCATCACCTGGACAATTGTACTTCTCCAACTCATGACTAGTGTCTCTCTCCATCCCAAAGTAAGTTGCAATTTCTCTTGATTCTCGGAACATTGTTGTAGCTTCATAACAACTCATTACTCAAACCAAGTCTACCAATTAAAATCAGGTGAATGCTGGCTTTTTGACTCCGGGTTTTATGGGATTGTACGTGGTCTTTCTCTGCTGGTCTGCAATAAGAAGGTATCAGACACTTCCATTAGACTCCCAACCTGCTTCCAGTTATATTAACTCTCTGGACTTGCTCTTTTTTTTTTTCTTGGACTTCCATTTTCTTAAAACAAGTCAATCATTCATGGTTTCAACGTTGTAACATGAAAGAAATACTCTTATCAATCCAATAGTATCGATATTGTTACGCTATTAACCATAAGGAACGAATGTTTTTGTTTACAGTGAACCGCCAGAGGAAAAATGTATAAGAAAAGCACAATCTGCAGCACATGGAGACTGGCTAACCATTATTGTAAGTTCGTTTCGGATCTCATTTAGACCTTCTGAAACCTTTAAGCATATTTTTCTCCGGCGAATGTGTTTTTTTTTTTTTTCCTTCTATTGCTTTTGCCCTGATGATTGACATCCTGATTCTGCAGAGCTTCGTAGTAGCGGTCATCGCGATTGTAATTGCAACATTTTCAACTGGCATTGATTCAAAATGTTTTCAGGTAATTCTCATTTAAAAAACAAGTAACTTAATTAATTAAAGAACAGCTAAAATTTGAGTGTGATCTCACCCTGGAAAGTTTGCAGTTTAAAAAGGACGAGTCGGAGAAGGAAGATGATGTTCCATATGGCTATCCATTCTTCCACTTTGTATTTGCAACTGGAGCCATGTACTTTGCAATGCTCTTAATTGGTTGGAATTCTCATCATTCCATGAAGAAGTAAGCCTACTAATATCCCTTGGATTGAATTAAGCTGGGATGCCATTTTAGGCTAAAAACTAAAAAAATACTGACTATTTACGAATTTCATGGGTACTTCATAGGTGGACGATTGATGTGGGCTGGACCAGCACTTGGGTTAGGATAGTGAATGAATGGCTAGCTGCCGCTGTTTACAGTAAGCCACTCAACCCAAGTTTCTATTTTGTAGATTCACTGATATCCGGAATGGAGGTAGTATAATGTTTAAGAAAAGCAGACTATCTGTTCCTGATTCTATAGTAAAGAGGAACCTTTTTTTTTTTTTTTTCCTTTTTTACCTCCCAATAGTCCATGCAAAAGACCTAACCAGTAAAATGTTTAACTTTGGGACAGCAAACTGATTTCTTTTTCCATCTGTTACAGTATGGATGCTTGTAGCGCCAATTATTTGGAAAGCAAGACAGGCATCGACGACTGAATCGCCAGTATGATGGGTTCGAGTAAAAGAAGGAAAAGAACAAAAAGAGAAAGATTCTGTTTGAAAATATTGCCCCCATGAAATGATTATGCCATTGGAGGGGCTCATCATGCCTGCAGGGCTGGAGAAGAACTCTGCATAGGAATTAACTTCAGACCAGAGGATTTAAGAAGGTGTCAGGTTTTATTTCAGGCCAGACGAAAAAGATGACTAAACTACACAAGCCATTCACACTGATAGCCAAAAGGGAATTTTTAGAGTTTAATTTTAAAAGTGATCCTATACGTGTATATATCCCAGAGAAGGGACATTTTTAGATTTGTAATACTCGGTTACTGTTTTAACACGTCTACAATTTATAGAGGTAAGAGATCATCACATTTTTTATACTTTCATGGGGGATATTTGGTGCTCGATTTTATGATTTGAGCATGGAACTGTGCGTCAGAATTTAAACTATCACATTCCAGATTTTGGCCCCCTAAAAAAAAAAAAGGAATGGTTTTGTTTGTTTTCGTTATGCTTTTGTACATAATGTTACTTCAAACTTATTGAGGAATATCACCTCAATCCGCCAATGCATACAAACATCATCTTATACAAAATCGAAATTGATCTGTTGAATGGGAAAAGCTAGCACGTTAATCTCCATCGAGGGCCTAACACTGTCCATTTTAATAAGCTACTAGTATTTTGTAAGGAAATATAAAACAGCTCGGGACAGCTCCCAAAACAACAGGAAGCCAACTTATAACTGCACCTTTCATCAACGACATAAATTTTTCAAACATCCAACAAATGCTAGGTACTGACAACTCTTTTAACAGAGAAGGCCAGTTGCTTCCCCTGGCATGGCAGCAAAGCAGTCCAAATCTTGTACATGTATTTTTCAATTTAATAATTCTCCATCTATTCAAGATAAATAATCCACATTATAATTTACGAATTCACAAATTACAATGTAAATTATTTCGTGGATCAAAGAAAGTCACATCTCGCCGTGTCAAATATTCATTTATAAGGAACTACAGAGAAGAGGGGGTGGAGAACAAATACATGATGTCGTGCTCATTGCTCCATAACCTGACACTTGGAACTTAACAAACACGAAAAACATGGAGGAAAAAAAAACACACACACACACACATACACATACCTAAGACATGTCGTCTTACCCCATAACCAGCCTCTTAGTATTTATCAGTATCATCAATCAAAACAGCTCAACAGCCTTCTCTACAGAACATAATTCTAACAATTATACAACCTTATTTTTTCAATGGAGATATAAACATTGTATACACTCTTAACAGCCACATAAAAATATAAGATGCCCTACTCTACAACAGGTGAACTCATACAATTGTACCTAACCACAGAGAAAAGGGAATCTGAAAAAGTAAATTAAAGGAAAAAAATTATCTAGTCAACTTAATACATAGACCCAAAAAATTACTAACACTGGGAGCTGGAAAAGTGTCAAACTGCACAATCTGGAGAAGCAAGCACTGATCTCCAAAGAATAATGAATAATGCAATCCTCGTCCCTTCTGAACAATAGATCGCTCCCAATCCTTGAACATACACTTTTTACAGCCCCATGATGAACAAGGTAGCTATAGCTCAATACAGAGTGGTATTCACAATCCTCGTCATCATACAACGTTTACGTTTTGACGGCATCAAAATTTCCACCAAAAAATTAAGCGAAGCAACAAGCTGATGCTTTTATAAAGTTATATAGGGCACTTTCTCCCAATTAACCAAATGGGTTTCCACCGACAGAAGAGAAGTTATTTGGTGCAGCAGGTAATGACTGTAATCCACCCATAGGCTGATTTGAACTTAGATGTCCAAAGACCCCAGCATCCATGCCAAAATTCATCGGCCCAAGAGGTCTGAAAGAGTTACAAAAACAAGTAAAACAGTATGAAGTTAAAATCCATATGAAGTCTAGCACAAAATAATATCCCAACAGAAAAGGACTTTCTTGATAAAACCGAAAAGAGAAAATTTATAAATTCAGTGCAAAATATAAGAAAAAGTTTGGAACAGAAGGAAGCAATTTCTAGATTAACATCGATTCTTCTAGATTACTTGCTGGTGACAACAGATACAAGATTAGAGTTCAGCGAACGCATATGCTTCACCAATAAGAGGACCTATAGCTTGGACCAGCATACTGAGAAAAAAAAACACAAAAAAACAAGAGTCACCTTGCTGGCATGTTACTTGGCAATTGCGGCATCATGTTTGCATCTGCAGTGGAAGATGCGTATAAAAAAGAATATAAGTAACCTGTTGCAGAGGAGAAAGAAAAGAAAAGAAAAAACTTAACGCGACTTACTTGAAGGCATCACAGAAGCATAAGAAGCAGAACTGGGATGCATTGTTGACGGATGAGCTCCAGGGGTGCCAAGGCTGGAAGTTCGAAGGAGGTTCGTTGGAGCTGGCATGTTAGGTAATGCACTTTGCAACGGAGCCATCGACGGAAACTGCAGGAGAAAATATCTTCACTTTATATGATCATAATTGCTGCTAATTTGTATTCCTTCATAAAAAAAATAAATTGAGTAGATATTCCTATATTTAACAATAGGCTGGGTAGGGTTAGACCTAACACACCAGGAAAGAAACTATCAAAAATGACTTGAAATATTTAAATTTAAATGAAGACATGTATTGATCCAACACGATGGCAACATATGAACCATTAAAGAAACATATTAAAGTGAATTTATCGTCATCAAGAAAAAAAGAATTACAAACATTATTTAACGAAGTAAAATGATCATACAGAAACAGAGAACTTACTGCTTGAGCAGGAGGATCGTTGTTGACATCAAAGGGATTTGTTGACTTTGTTGCCTGGGGGATGGGAGCAACGGGCTGCAAATGAGAAGGAAATAGCGTCATCTCACTGGTTATTCAACTGAAATCGTAGGTTTAAGTAAAACATCACATTATTATAGTTCTGCATGATACCATTGGCACGTTGTATTGCATGTTGAATCCCATCCCAAAAGGTGGACCAGTATTCCATCCAGGAGCTTGTACAGGAATTTGCGCAAAGTTCATGGAAAACAAATCCTGGAAGAAAAAGAGAAAAAAAAAAAGGAAAGAAATTAATTAATTAAAAGACGTGTTGAATGTCATAGTAGCATAGGCTCAACCGCAAAACAGGACGAACAGAGAAAACATGACTCAAGTACCTCGGGCAGTGCGCTTCTTCCACTAGATTTAACCTCCAGAGATTTCTGCGTATTCAATCCAGAAGAGGTCTCCAAGGTAGGGTTCACAACAGTTTGTGGGGCTTGTACAGTTGCCACACCGGGGATCCCTTGCAGATTTGGTGCAGATAACGGATTCCATGGCTGTAAACGTATATGCTCAGATATTTTGGGGGGAAAAAAATGTATGGCAAAATACTAGTAGGACCAAAGAAAGAGCTGTACCTCATTGCTTGCTGGTTGAATAGCAGGAGAGATAGATGGTCGCGCAGGAAGTTGGCCAGCCATAGCAGGGAACAGAGATTGTGTTTGAGGTTGTGACCAATGTCCTCCAGTAACAGGATTTCCAAAGGCATTGCCACCTAACTGGGGCAGCACTCCAGGTCCAGTGTTTGCAGATGGGGGACCTGATAGAAAAGCAGCTGACTTGTTGGCTACAGAAGCAGGAGGTGCAACATTGCCAAAAGGCAATCCAAAGGATGCAACTTGTTGAGAATCGGGGAAAGCTGCAACGGTAGCTGCAGAAGAAGTCGGCAAACCAGTGCCACTTCCAGGAGTTCCAGTCAAGTCACCAGGTATAGATGATGGTACTGACAACTGGGAAAGCATGGATTCAAGTGGATTGGTGTTCACAGGTGGCTGAGATACTTTCACCTCAGCCACTGAATCAAAATTGGCCCAGTTATCATTGCTAGGCATTGCTGTTTGTGCTACAGGGACACTAGTAGCAGCTTGCGGTGGCTGTGCTGCTGGAGGTGCGGGAGGTTCAGGAGCAGCATCAAAATCAATCAATGAAGTTTCAAATTTGGTTTCAGTTGCATTGCCATTAGAGGATGCCAAGCTACTGGAAGATGCAGTTCTCTGCACCAAAATTATAAAATATGTTACTATCAAAGAGCTACATAAAAACAATTTACGCGAAAAAAAATTTTCGGGAAATGAAATTCATTTGAAACACTAATAATCGAACCTATTTATCTTCAGGTAGGAGATGTAGACAAAATAATTATACAATTTACCAACAAGTAAAAAAAAATGCTAAAATCAAAAACCAAAATGATACAAGTTCACATCATTGAAAATAAAAGCAATAATTTGGTTAAACTTAACTCTTAATGATAGACAGTGGCTGTTTTCTTTCTCCATAAGGAAACAGAACCACAGGCCACACACGTTTTTACAATTAAAAAGAAAAAACAATTAGAAGTTGCATGAGACTTAAAGAAGTTTGTAATATGTATTTACATGCTAGAACAAGCAAAAAGATTACCAAGTTGAATTAAATCAAAATGCAGCCAGTCAGGATACCAACCTGGGTACGAAGGCCATTGCCCTTCGGAGGTTCAAGAACCCGAAGAGGAGACACATTATCACCCAGAATATCTCTAACAGGTCGGACGACAGGGGGGCTCGATGCATCAGCATCTCTTTGACGGTCCGGTGACCTACTATCAAACTTAGAACCACCATCAGAAACTCTATCCTCCAGTCTCCTCCCATTCCCAAATCTATCTTCTCGTCGCCAGTCATTGACAACTTCTGTTCGGGCTGGACTTCTTTTATCATATTGTCGATTATCTTGTTCATATGCCGGACTGCGACCACCTGAACTTAGCCTATCACTAAGACGGCGTTCATTGGCATCGTCATATGGAGGACTTCGTGAACCACTCTGGAAACTATCATTTCTACGATTTTCATAGGAGTCCTCGGTTCCACCCTTGAACCAAATCACATAATTAGCTTATGAAGGTGAAAACATCACCAACCGTAAGGAAAAAAGGAAATGGAATACCTACCATTTTCCCTCTAGGAGGCTTCTCAGAACTCCTCTCACCAGAATATCTCCTTTCCACGTATACGTGCTTAATGAAGTCACGGAGCCTCTCCACATTACTGAGCAAAGATTTGAGATTCAGATGCACATTTCAGAGTTAAAAGGCATCGATATATGGCAAGAATTACTAACCTGCCATCTGGAAGAGACTGACGCTGTGGATCCCATTCCTTCAGATAAATTTCTTTCGCACTCTACGAATTAAAAAGAGAACATGACAATAAGATAAACTGGGAACCCAAGTGAGCGCCAGATGAAACTAACAGGTCAAGCACTGACTTCTTACCGCATTTCCACCTCCTTGAAGAGCACTAACTTCTTGTGAAGTAAATTTAGCCATGGATATAGATTTCACTCTGTGGGTAAACTCTCGGCTGCAAACAATTTCAAATGTGTAAGCCTATTGAAACTCATTAAAAGCACATGTGGGCGCAATACAAACGATCTCAAAAGTAATGCACTTACTGTATTCCGCTGCAGTTTGTGCAGACAAAGGTCCAGAAATTAGTGCACACATACTGAGGCCCCTGGTTAAAGAAAACATTTAAAAAAAAAAAAATCTTTAGATTGGTCATCATCTTCCCCAGTGACATTGCTTTGGAGGATACATTCAGAAAACAAGAACATAAAATAGAGAGGCAATAAATTATTCTCAAAAGTCAAACTAAAGCTACTGTCAAGGTCATCAGCAACAAGTAGATCATTTAGGGAAAAGAGAGGCAACTAATTATTCTCAAAAGTCAAACTTAAAGCTACTGTCAAGGTCATCAGCAACGAGTAGATCATATAGGGGAATTCAAACTATCCAGACGTCAGTGGCAAGGATAATCCAAGAGAAAATACACCATCCAATGACAATTTGCTTTCAACCTGTTTAAAGGCCACTCAACATGAATTATAGACATGCTAACTTCAGTAATCCTCGCAGTTGACATGTTTTAATTGATGAGACAATAGAAGGAGAAAGTACCAAATTAGAAGCATTAGAATCATTCCATATGCAAAGCTAAGAATAAATAAATGGAGAGAAGTAGTAATGATAGAAGCAGAATGGCATATATGCGTAGACAATAACAATCTTTCATGAACACTATTACACATTAGAGTTCTTTTCAGGAACAGAGACTGGACTGATAATCCTTAAACTACAGTTATCAGAAAACGCAAAAGATCTAGCTACCAGTTCAGAAAGATTCGGGGTTACAAAATAAGGACTGAAAATGGCACCGGTACATACAAAAATGGTATCTATTGCATATCAAAGAAATATTACTACATAGAAAACATTTTCGCCAATATCAATAAAAAATACCAATTGCACACGGCTGAGTACTAATGGAACTTTCTGTTGCGAAGTTCCTTGAGTGCTACATCACAGAATCAAAAGACTCCATTAACCATCTCAAAAGGAATAACTGATGCCACAAGCACTCATCTGAGACACTACTGTCAGGAGGGGGATGGGTTGGAATGATTTATATCAACCAAGTAATAACTATGTTAACACGGTAGCTGAAAAAATATTTGACAGCCTTCACACCAAGAATTGGCAAAATGAAAACTTCAATCCCGTATTTTTAAGGCGCTGGATCATATTTCAGGATCTTCTCAAATCCAAAAATGTGCTTGGCTCAAAAATGCAAAGGAGCATCATTATCAAGCAATATCCCTTCCTCACTTCCAAAAAAACCTTAACTTTCTCTCTCAACAATTTACTAAAAATAGAAATGACTTATCCACCACTAAATCACACTCAAGCCATGGCATTGCTACACCAAGTTCTCAAACACCAAACTGTAAGATTCCAATAACAACGGCAACAATAGAGAGCAAAACCATTATGACAGAGAAAAAAGAAAAAGGACAGAAGATGAAATTAGAGGATGAGAATCAGCATACCAAGCTATTACAGTTGATGCACCTCCGATTATCAGGAAGTTTGAGCAAATTCCGTATAGTACGCTCATTCTTTTCATCCTCCTTCCGGCTCGCCATCTTCAATACCTCAAATTGTGCGAATCAAATTCAACCTTCTCCGGAACCGAATAAAAAGATATATAAATACTCTTCAATTAAGTTCACTGTTTACAAGTCCAAAAAAAAAAATTCAAATATAAGCAGCAGCATTAGATCTGGTGAAAAACAAGTAAGCAAAAATCACAAAATTTCAACTTCTCCGGCCAAAGAAATGACAGCAACCGACCTGATCGGAGAGACGAAGGAATCCGTTCGTAGTTGTTGGGAGTAAAATTGAGAGATCTTTTGTTTGGGTTTGTAGAGCAGTTTAGGAAACGACGGGGGGGCTTTGTACAGCTAAAGGTTCCAGAGGGGATAGAGAGAGATAGGAAGGAGGAAGACGGTGAAGAGATAGAAAGTATGAAAAAAGACAATTAAAAATAAAGATTAATTAACAATAATAAGGTGATCCAAGAGGGGGTTTTGATGGGAGGAAATATAGGCTGTTGCGCGGACACGGGAGAATTAGGGAAGACTGCGTTTGTCTGCTGGAATTTTATTTCTTTAGCTTCTTCTTTTTTTTCTGTATTTTTTCCGTTAAAATCTACTCCTAAATAAAAGTAAAAGTTTGATTATGATTATGATTGACGGAGCTTGGACTGGGACCGTCGGACGGCGGGCACAAGTCCTACAAGGCGGCGACTGGCTTTGGATTGGCTTTGTTTTTTCGACCTTATTTTGTTTGAAAAATAGAAAATTATTTTTCTCTTTTAATTGAATGCATCGATGTCATGATTTCGACTAAATCGATATCCGAAAGATTTATTTTGTTTTGAATAAATTGATGTACTTACACGATTATAAAATTATTAAAATTTTTATTTTTAACACTACAATACTTTTAATTCATATCATACATATGTTAATTACTTATATTCTAACGTATTTATAATTCTTATTAAGTTTTAAGATTTATACTAATTTTAATATATATTTTAAAAAAACAATATGAACTATATTTTCTTAAGACAAACAGAGCATTAAATACATTAAAATGTAAGTAACATGAGTATTAGTACAAATTTTCAAAACTTAAAATGCACTTTTTTTTGCAGCAGAATGAGTAATAACAATTGTGTTTTGAACATGAAATGTAATTTTTTACTCTGGTGTTTTCTTTTAATTGTAATTTGTAATTTTGTGGTTCGAATATGATATACATACTAATATTTTTTTCCGTTAATGCGCAGTTGTTTGTTTGAAAAATAGAATTAACAGATAATGTTTGTAGACTCAAACAGTCAACAAGTCTAGAAACTTCTGTTTTTTTTTTCTTTGGAAGAGAGTCCATTAATTGATATCTTTTTCGTAGAATTTCGACCTAAGCAAACTATTTCAACTCATTAGCTGCAGGTTATGAGCTCTCACAGTCAGTGTATCACAGATGTTCACAAAACAATCAAAATGGTAGGACCTATTTGGTTATGGAATTTCCCCATTAAGCAAAGTGTAAATTACCAAATAACTTGTTTTGTTTACTTTGTTTCGGTAATGAGTGAGCTAAAATTTTACTGTAAAACCACAGATCATCAGTATATTCTATCAAACTCTAACTACTACAATTTCTAACAACGATCCAACTCTGTTAATATGACTTTCTTTTTAAAAACTTTGTTTTGCTCACTTTAAAGGCAAAACTGCATTTCAAAAAGAAATTTCATTAACTAAAGGGGTTGTGGTGGAGTAGTAACTAACTCCTTCACCTTTAATCATAGGTCGAGGGTTAGAATCTCGCCATGGGCATGAAGCAATTCTTTAATCCTTTGGTCAGCTCTTCCACTTATCGAGGTGCCTACCGTGAGCGAGGGGGATTAGTCATTATTCTGAACGGTAGACATCCTGCAATATAGAAAAAAAAAAATCATTAATAGACTTATCATAAAAGAAAGCTTTAAAGCTTTAAATCTGTGAGTTATTGTGCATTGAGTTCCATTTTGAAGGGGGTTCGAATTAAAGTGAGGCAAGTGCATCATCATGAAATGCCGCGACTGAGCTGGCTAATTGGTCCCTCAAAAGCAAGTAGTAATATTTCTTTTTCAACGAAAAATTTATACAATTATTAAGCAGAATTTACAATTTTTGAGGGTCTTTTTCTATTTGGCTAATGATAGTTACAAGTGTTTACAGCAATTTTTTTAAAAATTTTCACTGAGAGCACGAGGCGGGGTCCTTGAATCTTTACAAGCCATGTTGGTCTAATCTCATTGGTTACTTTAATTAATTATTTCGTTCCTAAGTCCGGGTTTGTGATAATGAACCAAACATAAAATTACAGACATAGAATACATTATTGGTATTTGATTCTTAATGTTCCAAAATAATTACATATTCCTTCCTATCTAATCCATGAGGTTATGGGTCGTCTGATTATTACCACTTACTTGAAGGAGCCTGCGTTAGGAGAATGTGAAGGCCACATATATAAGATTGTTGACTCAAGTCAATGCTCAATAAATATAAATTGTTTATCAACATTTTAAGTGTGAATAATTATTGAGTGATACAAGTGATTGACACTATTAAGACATCATGTGTTCAAAATTTAATAAGAATGAACTTAATTTAAAAAATAATAAAATATATCACCTCCAACATTTCCGTATACAAAATACAATTGGAAAACCAATTGAATAATTTTATTTTTTATATTTTTGGTTTCAAAAGTAAAAATATGGTGATTAGAATTATGTTGTTTGGTGTAGTTTAGTAACCCTGAGAATGATTCCATTTTCGATTTCTTATGTTGACTTTTCGTTATTTGACAATCTAAAAAAAAAGGATTGGAGTCACAAAAAATTTTGTGACTAATAGAAGTCATTTTCCTTCTATCCAAAATAGGAAGAAAAAAAAAATTATGATCAGAAATAGTAAGTTACAATTAATCGAGTAAAAATATAAAATGTAGGAGTACTCAAACTCTCAAAGTTATAGTACTGATCTGGCTTCTTACCTGCACAACATTCCTATTTCCTAGTGGTAATTAAATACTCCTTCCGTCCTATAATTATTGTCCAGTTTAGATTTTTATTTTTAGTTCAAATTGTACTAAAAGTGAAATCTCAAATTGTACAATAATTTTAGGACACAAGGAGTATATAGGGACTGTGTTCTTTCTAGCCGTGATCTAATTTCGTCCACACCCAATATGTCTCATTTATGTATCTGACCGCGAAAACTTGTGCTTAATAGTTGATCGGTTTACAGTTCCTTTTGGTTCTACTTACAAATTAAGCGTAAAATTAAATTTTTTAGGAAGAACGAAACCCCCAAAAAACCGTTTTAATTGGCAGAAATTAATTTGAATACGTTTTTTTGGAAATAATAGAATCCCAAAAAACTTGTGCTGGAGAAGTTCTTAATTGGCAAACTACTAATTGATTACTTTTTTATTTATTTGAATGTTTGTTTTATGAATAAGATTGAAAAAATGTATAATTAATGTGTAATAAACTGCAGATTACGGTAATTATATAGTAAGTTCAACTTATATAATTCTATCTGAACTTGTATAGTCTATGCTCAAAGGAAAGAAGACAAAATGACGTCTTTGTACAATCATACTTTATTCAAATAAATTGCAATATGATGGCTATAAAAGAGATACGGCTAGCATCATAGTCTTGAATTCTTAATTGAACAAATCTTTGGATTGGAACAGCTTTTTAAACAAATAAAAAGCAATTTAACTTAAGATATATGGGCTAGTACTATGTAATCTGATGTTGGTGTTAACCTTAATTTAAATACTATAAGATTATCAAAATTTAATACAAGCAAATCTGTTGCGTATCATCCAAAGAGATCACAATTTGTCTTTGAAGGTTAAAGAAAAGTAAAATGTGTTTTTATATGAAATCTGAATGTTCACGACTTTACTTGTTATGCACCGGTTAGGAATATTCATTCAGAGTAGCTGCCTCATTTGCAAAGTAAAACTTATGCTGTGTACTTCACTAATAATTAATTTTCATTGTGAACCCAAACCATGCTATAGGTACTTTATTTATGTTACGATATTGTTCTCCATATCGCAAGCTAACGGGTCATGCATGTATATATAATTACACTCTCTATAAATTTTATGATCAATCAACAATGTTATTTTAAATTTTTAATAAAAAATTAGAAGGGTTGTGGTTGTATAGAAGGGGCTCTTCCACCCTTAATTAGGTCGATGATTCAAATTCCGTTATAAAGATGGAATAATTTTAAATCTTTTAATTAGTTGTCGGTTGTCCTATTCATTAAATTAAGTGTCTATAATCCAGCGAAAAAGATTAGTCATTGTTGTCGCTGAAGGCATCTTGTAAAAAATGCGAAAGAAAATTTAACAGGAAATAATATAACTAATTACTAATTAATTATAGTTTCTGCTTGGAAACTTGTTTTTAACGTTATATACATATCAAAGACCAAAAACAAAGAAAGAACAACAACAAAAAAATAAAAATAATCGTGTTAATAAATTCTGCACCCGCGCGCTTTGTCAAATTCATCTTTTTCGTTGCTGCACGTAACAATAGATACTGGATAAACGAGTCTTCGTTTTGGCAAAACGTACGTACGACAATGTTTCACTATATGACATGCACGCTACAGTTGTATTTATCTGAGTACATTAATTTGCTTGCAGTTTGCGCGCATGAACTCATGATTTTCATTTATCATTCTTCTTTCATTACTAGTATAATTTCCTTCCATCTCCATTTTAATACAAGAAATACATTTTTACCAAACTGAAAGATGGAATGGAAGGAGTATATAACAGGATAGTAATAACAAATAAAGAAGCGAGTGTGGAATGATGTTTTTGTGCTTAGATTGATATTTGTAATTTTGTTCATTTAACCATTGTGTCCCTGATTTGATTTCTATACCGATGCCCTACCAGATTTTTATCAAGGAGTTGCCAAAATTTCTCCAAACAGTAACGCGAGTAGATAAAGAAGAAGAAGAAGAAATGTCATTTGGGATGCCGC